GGGTGGGGAGAAGAAGTTGGGGCCCGCGCCAGTGTGTGTAATACACAATATATGTATAAACATATCACTTAAACGACACTCTAAATACCTAACACCTATGGTAAATCCTCCAATACAGATCATTTGTTCCAACACATGATCTAAAACCTAGGGAAAATTCAACATTTATGGAGGGGACTAGGAAAGGACAACACCTTGATGAATTGTGATAGCACTTCATTAAAGGACATCTCTTACACCGAAGGCTACTTGGCACAGCTCTACAATAAAGATGGTGGGAGAAAGGAGCATTGTTTATGAAGAGAAAGGACGGCCTTTTAAAAGATATTGTACTGTCAGGATGACAACCCTACAAAGAAGAACCAGAACCTTTTTAAAGACTGTAGCTACTTACGGATGTTTTTATGTGAACTATGTTTGCCAAGATCTGAGGACTGCAACGTCCACAAAGTACCATACGTATGCTACTTTAGCGTCAAAAAAGCATACTGTAGAAGATTAGTTGCAGGAAAAGGAAGGGAAGTGAGTGAGCATTACAGAGGATATGGACACCTCTAAATAAGGACGAGTCACAACAATATGAGCTTCTACAAGCAAAGCATTTGTACAAGTGGGGCTTTGTAGGGCTTTTGCAACAGATCTGCACATATATATATATATACATGCAGCGTGATAAGTTTCATCATACATGAGAGACCTTGTGCGCAAGGGAAGATCCGTGGAAATAACACTAAGGATGATGCCGCTACAAAGGACAACAGTGCCATAACTAGAGGAGGAGAGGATAAGGCATTCACACAGTAGTAGGCTTGCTGAAGGATGTGTTGTTTTTCTCTTATTTTTTTCCAATGAAACACTTCTGAAGAAGGAATTTGGGGAAAACGAATCAACATGGTAAAGAACGATGTTTATGCATGATGACACTTGTTTGTTTATATAGTAGAACATCATCGTCAATAATAATTAGGCATGATTTGAATAAGGACGACACCCTGTGCAGGGGGAAGTTTAACCAAGACTGGCAGTGGCATTCAAGCTATATATGCCATTATGCATATGCGCACTTATTAATCACGGGAATGTATTCCAAAAGAAACTACTTGTGCAGGAACAAAAGAAACAACTTCAGGTGAAATCTACTCAACACCTTTGTGTTTTGCAGTGGTTTCTTCAAGAAGCACTGAACAACAACAACAACAACAACAACACCAACAACAACAACAACAACAACAACAACAACAACAACAAGGTACAAACAAAAGCTGCAGCCCCGTTACAACATCTCTTGTTCCTTTGTCTCTACAAGGGGGTGGAAACAAAATCTGCCGCCCCGTCTTTGTTTTTTTGACCCCCCCCGGAAAACAACCAGCCAACAAGTACTTTTACCAGTAGTGGTAGTGCTTGTACCTTTGTTGTAGTAGTCGCACTAGGGTGGTAGTAGTAGTAGTAGTAGTAGTAGTAGCAGTAGCAGTAGCAGTAGCAGTAGCAGTAGCATCAGCAGCAGTAGCAGCAGCAGCAGCAGTAGCAGTAGCAGTAGCAGTAGCAGTAGCAGAAGTAGTAGTAGTAGTAGTAGTAGTAGTAGTAGTAGTAGTAGTAGTAG